TCAAGGGTTAAGATCCCCTTACCGGTCATCTTTTAAAAAATAAAAAAATAAAAAAAATAAATTGACAAAGATTGAATATATTCAAGGCTTACGATGTGATGATTTGATATGTGTGTGTATGTGTGTGTGTGTGTGTGTGTGTGTGTGTGTGTATATATATACATTGTGTAATAATTACCACAATCAAATTAATTAACACATTCGTTACCACCCATGCTGTACATTAGCTCTCCAGAACTTGTTCATCTTATAACCAAGTGTGTACTCTTTGAATAGAATTACCATATGATCCAGCAGTCCCATTACTAGGTATGTATCCAAAGGAGATGAAATCAGTATCTTGAAGAAATATCTGTACTGTCATGTTCACTGCAGGATTATTCATAATAGACAAGATAATGGAAACAACCTAAGTGTCCATTAATGGATGAATGGCTAAAGAAATTGTAATACATGTATACAATGGAATATTATTCAGCAGTAAAAAGAAGGAAATCCTGACATTTGCAACAACATGGATGAACCTGGAGGACATTATGCTAAGTGAAGTAAGCCAGACAAAGAAAAACAAATACTGTATGATTTGAGGCCTTTGTTTTTTTTATAAGGGCTCTAATCCCATTCATAAGGGTGGAGTCCTCATGACCTGATCACCTCCCAAAAGGCCTCACCTCATAATAGCATCACCCTGAGGTTTAGTATATCAACATAGGAATTTTAGATGGACACAAACATTTAGACCATAGCACCATTTAAAATGAACAATATCTTTCACAAATTGCCCATCAAAGCTTCTGGTAGATCACTATTCTCTTGGATTAATTTTCCTCTGTCTGAAATATACTATTTCTTTTTTTTTTTTAAGGGAGAATCTATGACTGATAAATTTTTTGAGTCTTTGTATGTCTAAAATTGTCTTTATCCTTGAGCTTTAATGATACTGTGGCTATGTATAGAATTCCAGGTTTAAAAAATTTCCCTCATAACTCACAAAATACTGTCCCTAGAGCTAGTGTTTTAAAAAACGTGTACTGATTGTGTTCTGTTGTAGGAGTAATTGTTATTGTTGTTTGTATGGTTTTATCCTAATTGGCACTCATTAGACCCTTTTAATGTGAGATGATATATCCTTTTTACAAACATTTACTGTGGAACCATCACTGTGTTAAGCAATAGAAAAGTGAAATAAGTTATGACAGAGGCCCCTCCTAGAGTAGCTTACAGTATAGTGGACCAATCACATAAGTACCTAGATAATGATGCACTGGAGTAGGACTGTGAGCACTAGGTATTGAGATTATTGCTAGAGAATGGAAGAGGACACCTCACTGTCTTATGCCTGGGTCTCAGAAGATTGGGACTTGAGCTACCTCATGGGTAGCAGAAATGCAATTCACAGACATCCATCAGTTCTAATCACAAGCTCTATGAAGCATCAAAAGGAACAGGAGAGCAATGAGGACAAAGGGTCCATCTGGCCAAGCATAGCTTTCTGGTGTCTCCCCTCTGTGCCTCAACAGGACAAGCCCAGAGAGTTGGCAACTGTTAGCAGCCTTTGTAGGCTGAGGAACCTTCCAGATCTGAGAAGAAACCTCAAAGAGGCTCCCAGGCTTTTATCCCATATTTCCCTTAAAGTTTATGTCATTGCTCAGAAAGAGCTTCTACTGTAACATAAAGCAATATTATGCTACTCAGCAGGCCACGTCACCCAGGCCTAATGATTGGAGTTCATACCCTGGAATTATTGCTGGGCCTTACTCATCCAATCTTTTTCTTGTTTGTTCTGTGCATTGTGAACCTCTCTATTTACATATGCACAATTTTTCCATTTGAGTTCCACCCTGGGAACTTTTAGTAGAAAGGTCTGGCCTATCATTTTGGCACATTATGGTCTCTCAATATATGTTCTCCATTTCACATCTTTTCTGGTCACTTAAAAATTTCTAGGACTAATCTCTACTGAAAAGGAGCCCTCCATGTGCATATCTAGATTCTAAGTTCCAGGCTCCAAGACCTGAGAGTTTGCACAGACCAGTGGGTAATTGATTTTCTCTCCTGCCTCCAGCAAGTTTCTTGTCTCCAGTGAGTTCCCTGTCTCTGATGAGTTTTCACTCTCTACCCTGACAGGTTCACAAGGACACGTACCACATGCAACAGGGCCTGCAGGAGCGAGTGCAAAACTGCAACAGGATCAGGACAGGACAGGGCTCCATATACCTTCATAGGGTACAGCACCAGCAGCTGCAGCAAAAGCTGAAACAAGCAGAGGTCTGGTTGCTGCAGCTAGGAAGGTTTGCCCGCCTGGTTGACTACATGATTTGTCAGAACCTCATTTCTATCTTGGAAGAAGAGATAACCTCTTTCGTGGACAACATCCTGAAAGTGAGGTGGTGGGTGGCATGTGTGGAGGTGGGCAGGCAGTCAAAGGCTTGATGGTGGGGGATGTATACTGGCATCTAGCCCCACAACCTCTCCTGGCCCTTCTTTGACAGGCTCCAAGGCAGAACCCCTTTCTCTCATCACAGCTGATCTTTGACGATTCTGGCCAACTGGCTCATGTGCCCTGTATTGAAAATATGATCCAGATTTTAACTGAGGGCCTACAGTCTGTCAAGGCCTCTGCCTTGCAGGTATTCTGGATTGGTCAGGGCTGGCTATAGGAATTCCCAGTTCCTATCCTCTGTGTAATCAGAAGCCCTCAGACTGGGTTGAATCCCTCATTGTTTTCCCATTTCTGCCCCTTTTCCATATCCTGGCATGAAGGTAATACAGTCTGAAGACCTGAAGACCTCGTGGGACTCCCTGTATTCCAAAGGTATTTAAGGAGACATAGGTAGGAGGTAGGAAGGTTGGAAGGAGGGGAAGGGCATGTTTAGAGTACGAATGGATGGGAAGCGGGCAGGAGGCCCAGACTATAGAGTCAGGCCTTGGGTGTGGATGGAGCAGCTCTAACTGCGGACGTGTGTCGGGGCCTAGGTGGGTTGGGGAGTGTTTTTGCTTACTAATTCATGTGCTTATGTGTATGTGCGTGCAATGAGAGGATGTATGAAAGAGTGTGAGTACATTGTCCTTCCAAAACCCTGTGAGGTTTTTCTCCAGCGTCAGAATTGCATTTTATTTACTGTGGAATTTGATTGCTAAGTTAATTTGTACTTATTTGAAGAGCTCTGCTTGCTCAATATTTGCTTTATTTCATAGAAGGGGTCTTCAAAAAGTTCCTGGAAACATTCATATCGTCTTTTAATACCATTTTTCCACAAACTTTTTGAAGTACCCATGTACAACTCTTTTATTTCATATAGAATATTTATTAGCAATATTACTGAGATATTTTATGGTTACCAGTTATCATTAGTTATTAGTATTCACATCTGTTAACTATCAGGGAGGAAATATATCTTCACATTTCCTTTATTTATAGTACTAGTGCTATCACAAATAAAATTATTAAATGCATTCAGCCACTTCTGACATGTAGATGCTTTTCAATTTCCCCATTCAAATGGTATGTTTTCATTAAGATGATTTAAAGACACAAAGTTAATTTTAGGAAATAGGTGACAAGGAGGAAAAAAGGTCATTGAAAGGAGCTTGTATCTTTTGCAAAGCACACCAGTTGAGGCATATTTTTTCCCTGAATGAATTTAGGTTAATTGATCGCGACTGTTGATATTTGTTTTACATAGCACAGTGTAAAGAAAGGCTTTGGAATCGGACACATTAGTTTACTAATCTTCAAAGTGGGAATAACAAAAAATACCTAATCTGAAGGATTGTCTTGAAGATTAAAAGAAGTAGCATGTCTAGTATAGTGCTCAGCACATAGTAATACATGCCACAGATAGCACCTTACTATTATTAGTATTAAAGACTTAAATAAATCAGGCATTTCACAGTATTTTCTCATTCCATGCTGTACTAATTCATATTATGGATATGCTATAGTATTTTCCATGGGATAGTTTTCAAAAAGAAAGAAAAAAAACCTTGAATTTTTATTCTAAGTTCTAGTGAACTGAAAATATTCACCTACAATGTCTTAGGTTGTCCCTACCACTTTGAAAGAGCAGCATGGACTGATGTGTTTAAGGCAAAGTGTCATGACGCTTTTTTCTTACTTTCACATGGTTTAGGGGAAAGAAAAGATAGAAGGAGAAACTGATAAAGCAATATGGCAAATGTTAATAATTGTTGCATCTATTTTTGTTTTTTTTTTTTTTGCTTTTTGTGTCTGGCCAGTACAGGGAACTGAACCCTTGACCTTGGTGTTACAAGGTTGTGCTCTAACCAAGGGAGCTAACTGGCCAGCCCCAATTGTTGAATATAAGTGGGTGGATGAAGTGGTCAAAGTAAAACATTTGAAGAAAAAGATCCACATGGAAAATCACATTAATATCGTGGAGGAGCCAGACCAAAGTCCTGATTTAAGATTTTACTTGAGTTCTTTAAGAAAAATTGAGTAATTTTCAATAATGGTAAACATGTATCAGTTAAAGCACTGTTAGCAGTCTAAGAAACATACATCTGACTGAAAAACCTTTTGCTTAAATGAGGCAAAATTTGTATGGCATTTTAACCAAATTACAAAATGATTTCAATACCTCTACTTACACACAAAAATATGAAGAATAAATCCCTTTACAATAGAAACTTATACATTGACTAGATTCTAGTCACTAAAAGAATACCCAGTGTATTATAAATGAGATGGTTGCAACATATTCCTCAATCTTAATGCTGGGCTCTCCAACATTTTCCAGCGGACATTTTGCAAGTAAAAACTAGGGTATTAATATTACTGTCTGATATTCTTACAAATTTTCTGCAGTTAGAACTGAGAAAATACAATTGGATAATCACTTTTCTCATCTGTCAGGTGTCAAGTTCAAAAACTATTAAAGTTCCTACGTTAACTTTAGTATGACAATATCCTACTAAAATCAAAATATCTTTTTGATACTTGTAGTAAGATAAATCTGTTACACTGAAGAGACAAAGAATTGTCTCATTTTTATTATAAAATATTTTATTATAAAATATTTTGTCTCATTTTTAGTATAAAATGTTTTGGTTGGGATGGTGTTGAAGTTACCTTAGAGATACAGTGAAAAGAGTGAAAACTGTGATTATCATATTTTTTTTGCCAGGGGACTGCACGTGTCAGGGAGGGTCTCTCGGAAGTGTGAGGTATGAGCAATACAACAGGAAGAGGAAGTGTAGAGGAAAGCAGTGTGTTCAGTGAGTGGATTTATACATGAGAGGGAAAGAGATAATTTTTTTTCTTGCTACTCTGTTAGAAATTTTGAAGAGATAAAAAGTTGTATAAATATGTTTGACAAGAAGCTTTGCTTTGTGTGAAATGTCTGAGTCACTCATTCAGGAAACCTACAGTAAAAATCTATATTATTTAGGCCTTTCAAAGTTGGTCTGATATTTAAAAATGCAACTCCTATGGCGGGCCCGTGGCTCACTTGGGAGAGTGTGGTGCTGACAATACCAAGTTAAAGGTTAAGATCCCCTCACCAGTCATCTTTTATAAAAAAAATAAAAATGCAACTCCATGTTGACTTATGTGTATTATATCATTACATACATATTTTATTCTTTTTTTCTTTTTTCTTCTTTTTTTTTACATACATATTTTAAATCAAAGCCCCAAATCCCTCAGAAATGACAGGTAATTTACATTTCTTTGATTTACTTGATATCAGATTTCTATCATAAGCAAACTTTATTTCACTCTTACCTTGGCTATAAAGTTATTAGTGATTTCTATTTTGTTTTGTTTTATTTTGTTGGATATTCCTTTAACCAGACTGTGTTAAAAATAAACTAGCTTTTCTTTTCATTGCTTGGAATCACACTCGGATTGACTTTGTATAGCACCATATTGCCTGAGCACTCTCATGGGTGCTGGCCCCTTGAATCACTGTTCTTCAACCTTGTCTTGTATTTTGGATCTCACAAAACAGAAAGTTACTAAATTCAAAGGCAAAAAAGAAGTAGCAGTACCAACCTTCTAGTTTCAACTAGAAAGTCAGGAGGAGAGCCCCTGTCTCTCAAATTGCTGCTTATCCTTTCATCTCTACACAGAAATTGAAACTAGAAAGTCAGGAGGAGAGCCCCTGTCTCTCAAATTGCTGCTTATCCTTTCATCTCTACTTCTCTCTGCGCATCTTTCCGATTCCGGATTCCTAAGACTAGTCATCTCTGCTTCTCTTGGATTTTCTGCTCCCTTATAACTACTGCTTTCAAATGACTGAAACTTTCTATGGCTCCAGCTCTGTCCTTGACTGTATGATCTTTCAGTTATTTTGCCTGTGCACAAGACTTGATTTTGTTCAGATTTTTAAGACACAGAATACAATTGATTCAACTTATCCTGTACATTGAATCACATATTCATAAACTATGGCAAGGGGAATGGGTCATGGTGCACATTAACTGGTTTTTAGCTACAGATAAATCCTGTTAGAAGGATGTGTATGGTGGGAGACGCTTCAATCTTCAACTATGCTTGTACTTGGCTATAAATATCTATTATATGGACCTGAATGCGCAGGTTGATTTTGGATTACATAGTCCTAACTGAAAACCAGGTAAGCAAAAAGGAAATTTATTGGCTCCCATAACAGCTAGATTGAGCCACAGTGGCCTAAACAATAAAAACAAGAAATCTTGAGGGAGGCACGTCCAGGGTTGGGGCTCAAAACTGTCATCAAGTACCTTCTCTCGCTCCTTCCTGTTTTTAGCTATAGGTAAGAACAGATTTTCTCAGAAGAGTGTGTGTGGTGGGGGAGGCTACAATCAAGTGTTTTTTTTGTTTTTTTAAATTTTCATTCTCATGCTTATTGCTTCATAATTGCAAGACAAGCTGCAACTACAAGCATCCCATTCTCAGGCAAAATTAGGAGGGAAAGGGAAGGCAAGGTTAGCAAGAGAGCTCTCTGTGCCTGATCTCACATTTTACCAGGAAAGAGAATTTTTTTCCAGAAGCTCCTCAGCAGACTCACTTTTACATCTCATTGTCAAAATCTAGTTCATATGGCTACCCCTAGCTGCAAGAAAGCCTGGGAAATCAAATAGCTGATGTTCTCAGTTTCTCCTGGAGGACGGGCCCTACCACCATAGAAGAAGGAGGAAGGAAATAGCTATTGGGTGGTCAACTAATATGCTTCCAGATTTGCGTTCTTCAGATAGGCTGTCTCTACCTGGCATGCAAGAGAATCACCAGCATTCTTTACATCGTCATCTCATACCATACTCTTTCCCTTCTAACCCTCATTTAATTTTAATTATTCAAGATAAGTACACCAGCAGTCCTTCTGTTGATGTCTATCTAGTCATATTGTTTGTCTGAAGTTCATTCTCTAGTAGGTTCCTCAGGAAGGGCTTGTAGAAACAAAGTTATCAAATTCTATGCTGATAACAGTTTGTACCTTTTGAAAATTAGTGTTGCTGGATATAAAATCTTTGGATCGTATTTTTTTCCTTTGCATATATTAAACATGTTACTTTTTTTCAAGCATGGTGAGTTGTTTCAAAAAGTTTAAAGGTAATCTAATTTTTGTTCTTTTCGCCTAGATTTTTTTTTCTTGAAATCCAGCAATTTTAGTAGAATATGTCTTGATGTCACTGGCAGACCAGGCTCAGCTTGCCCTCTTGCACTAAACAAATGACTGGAAAGTCCAAAAGTTGGTGCAAGGATGTAGGAAGGTTTCTTCAGATAACCGGTACTCAGCTATGTCTAACCAAGCAAACAAACAAAGAGAAAAGAGGAACAGTGGGGTCCACTTTATCCTAGTCCCAATCGGC